TTTTGTTAATCATTATCATTGTTGTTGTTACTGTTGCTGTCGCTTTCTCTAAATTTTTAGTATCACACTCGCCCATTTGTTTTGTTTGCAATTTCAAATTAAGCATTCAATTCCCCAACAAACCATTAGCCTAATGTTTTTTTTTTTTTTTTTTTTTTTTTTTTTTTTTTTTGTACTAAAGCAAAAAGTTTTCTCTTTGTGTTTTTCAGTTCATATAGAAAATTGAGATAGTTTTTGTTTTTGTTTAGCCAAGCTTACATAAATATTACTTAGTTGCTCTCTAACATGAATAAAAGTTAATTGTTTTGTTCAGTTTATTAGAATATAATGTTTGTATTAGTTTTCTTTTTTATTTTTTTATTTTAGTTTTGAATGCACTGGTTGGTCGCTAGCGGGACAGCAGCTAAAAATCAACTCAGCTAAGCTCATAACTGTGCAGTTAATTACAGTTTATACTCGCCATTAATGTATGTATATATGTATATATATTCATTGTTATTTATAAATTTAAAAGTTTCTGTTATAGACACTAAATACTCGCTAATACTAGTTGGGACTATGCGACGATTTGACATTTAGATTTGATGCTTGTTGTTTGTGTTTAATTTAGCTTCCTGGTGGGCTCCACCTTCTGCGACATGGCGGTCAACACCCGCTGATTGTCAATCACACGAAAACTGCTAATGTACGAGCGCACCTCGCCCTCGCTTTTGGGTGAAGGCGGTTCCAGGCCTGAAAAATAAATAATAAACAAAAATAAGTTAGGCGTATAAAAGGCAGAATAGCATATGCATATGCACATATATACATTAAATGATATATGTATATACAGATAAATATTACGATTCAATAGTTCGGATGCAATTTGCTGCTCAAAACAAATATTATTTCAGGTTACATTTACAATTTGACTATTCATTGAGTTCTCTCTAGGTACTTTAATAAGCTTTAATATGTGGTTTATCAAAACTCGCTCGTTTTATTAGCCGTTTTATACTGAATGATCTGTTCGTGAGATCAACTAGAAAAATCATACTCACTTGCTCTCGCTCAGAGCAAAAGACTTCGTTTCATTTCGTTTTGGTTTTCGGTTGAGTTCGTTCTATTCATGTAACGCTCATTTAACGATCGTATAGGGAGAGATACGATTGACATTCGCACAATGAGATAGAGAGAGTAAGCAAATAGTCGCTCGAAATGTCAATGCGAGCGATCTTCACACACACATGCACAAACTCGACTCTCGTAAGCCATCGATGTGCCTAGCGAACAAGAGCCTCGCATACCGATACATATACAATAGACCTTTTGCTTCATAGTCGAGAGTAAACCAGAGAGGAAAAGACCAAATGAGAAAGGTTTCTGTCCGATCACGAACGAAGTCGTCAAAGAACCGATGCAATCGGTTGCTCTCAGAGTTTTTCAGAGTGTGAGTGAAGGAAATTTATTTGTAGACATCGGGTGATTATAGACTAAGCTCAAATCTTATAGCAATTTTATAGCTCTGAGTCTTTAAGCATTGCTATAAGAACAGTCCATGTCTATACTAGATACTACAAAAGCCAATACTAGCTTGCTGTTGCTTTGATTCTTTTGAGAGCATTGTCACTGTATTCAGGGCATACCAAGATATCCAGCTGTGATTTTAACTAGCACAAAGCCTTTAGACTCCTCGACAGATTATATCAAGTTTTGCGCTACAAAAGATTTCTTCACAACTTTTGTAGCCTTTATAGCTTTCTTCCACTCCAAACCCAAGTCCAATTAATTATCTTGATGGCCCCAAATGCCAAAAGCCAAACTTACCCAGGCTGCGTGAGCGACAGAAGCGTATGGTGCGCATGGTCTGGGCCATCATGTGCATTTTCTCGAAGTTGACGAGGCCGTCGAGGCTGGTCTTGTTGCCCTCGTGGGCGAAGGTCATGTCCTTGAGCAGCAGCGGCATAAACGGAATCAGCGGTGGCTGCAGCTTGCCAACGAAGACGCGATAGGCGCGATGATTGCGACTGGGATCGATCAGAGCTTCGAACTCCTGAAAGATTTTCCGAAACTTCGATGGTATCTTCTCCCAGGTCTGATGCAGTCGCGTAACGGCCATGTTCGACAGGCCCATGACAATGGCAAAGAAGGCATTCAGATTCTGATACTCTTTGCAGCTGTAAATTGAGGAAAATGCAGTTTAGCGAGCTGTTTACTTAATTGTAATTAGTTTATTTAATGCTTACTAAGCGGCTAGCTTGATGAATTTGCGTACGAGGCCGACGCGTTTGCTCAGGCTGGGCGTTGAGACGAGCTCGGTGACAATCCAGTATTGCACCTCATTGAAGCGCCTCAAGAACACATCCAAATTGGCCGTAATCTGTGCAGAGAGAGAGAGAGAGAGAGAGAGAGAGAGAGGAGGAGTGTGAGCTAGAGTATACATTAGTATTAAACTTGTGCCAAATCACATTTGGAGCTGGCTTTAACTGCTTGGAGAGGCCTTGAAAGTTCGTCACCGACAACTCGTGCCAAAACCCAATTTGCAGCTACATGACAAATGCCAGACTTGTAAATAGTTGACGGCAAACTTGATGCCGCCTGTTAGTATAGGTCCCGCTGGCAAAACGGAGGTACGAGTCCTGGCTTCTTCTACCTGCTCTTTCAGCCTAATTAGCCGAAAGCCTTTTAAAACTTCTGCCAAACAATGCAAATCTTCTGCCAGAGGCAGAGGCAGTGTCAAATATTTTACTCTTTCACTATCTTTCGTTTTTCTGTTTTGTCTGCTGCCTACGCATGCTGCAAAATGTGACATTTATGTGACCCACATGGCGTATACTTGATACAACTCTTTAAGTAAACATAGCAAGATTTTTCATATATTTTGACTATAATTTTGTGGCCTTTGGCTGTTGAGCCTTGATGTATATTATTTTAAAATAAATCAAATAAAATATCTATATTTTTGTATCTATATATAACGTAATAGCGTTTCAAATTAAATTGTCAAACTGTAAATTGTGAAAAAAATATTTCTAAACGAAATTTGTTTGGGAGATTTGTTTTCTATATAGATATTTGACTGCATAAACGAATTTAATTTAATTTTAAATTTTTTAAATTTCATTTTAAATTAAATAATTCTCAGTAAATGCCTTGGAATGTATAAAAATATATAAATGCAACAGAGTTCCTATACATATATACATTTTTTTATTACTAAAAAAATTAATTTTCTGTTCCTAAGAAATATATATATATGTAGATGTTTTTTAATATATTTTATATTTACAAAAAAAAATTATTTGTAGTCTAAACGATTAAAATTCAACCGAAAAAATATCTCAAAGCAATTTATCTTTACAAATATTAATATTTATAGTAGTATATATGTATGTATATAGTATTTTCTTTATGTGTACCTTGCCAAAGTGATGCCTGCCGAATGTGTGATACAGCAGCTCGTACTCATGGACGGCCCAGAACAAGTCCCATTCAAAGATGGTGATGTGATAGGCCAGCTCTTTGGTGCTCAATATTTCCAAATCAATGTCAACACCCTCTGTGGGGCACTCCTGTTCCGGCAGCGGAGTCTGTGCGTAATAATTGCCAAAGTTAGCTTGCAAATTGGGTGTGGAAAGTTCGGCTGTCGACTCTTACCAAAGCATCCAGATGATCCTTGACGGACACAAAGAGACGGCCATTGAGAGAGAGGCCCGTAGGTATGCTAACATCGTTATCTTTGAATACGGACCGTTCGCCATTCGATTTGACCTCGACCAGGCACAGGTCGTCGGGGCCGCGATTCAATTGCAGCTTGTCGGCGGCGCAGGCCTTGATTAGCTCGGCGGTGGTGTGCATGGGGAAGCGCAGAGTGCAGTAGGTGTGGTCCGCACAGTAAACACGGAAAATTACTGAATGCGAGACAAAGAGAGTGAGAGAGGGGGAGGGAGGGAGAGTGTGATTAAATGCCATCAGTTAGTGCAGTCGATTTGAATTGCCAAAGTCTAGCTGCACACTTACTGTCATCGTCCGGCCGTATGACGGTCTTTGAGGGCGTGGCATTGCCGCTGAATAGACAAATCGGCTGGCCATTTGTTGGCAGCTTCCACTTTTGGCCCGCATTCTGATTGCGATCCTCCTGGTAGCGTGCCATTTGTGTTAGCACATTGTGAATTATGCTCGTCTCCTCGTTCAAGTCCGGATCGGCCTCCACCTCGGCGGCCAAATCCTCTATGAAATCGCACACGCTCGGCTCCTCAAATGCCGCGTGTCGCACTGCCATGACCCACTTTTGCATGAACTGGATGACGCGCTTCTTGAAGTTGATTATATATTCACGATCCTCGGGCGTTTGCGCCTCCTCATGGGCATCGCAATGAAAGGTGCACAGTGGTTAAGGAAAAATCAACAAAGAGAACGCAAAATGGAAAAAAAAAGAAAAACAAAAAAACAATTGGAAAACCTGCGCAACCTAAACGTAGCACAGCTTGGGCACGCACCACGCACAATCAAGTGGAAGTGTGGGGGGAGGGGGGGCTGGTGGGTCATAGCCTGGTGTGTGGCTGGCCGAAAACTGGCTGCTTATTAAGCACATCACGTATTTCAATGCAGATTGAGGATTAGTTTCAAGCATCATTGAGCCCCGCCCCCTCTCAATTACTGCTGCTGCTGCTGCTGCTCCTGCTGCACTAAACATTCCCGAATTGTTGACCCAATGTCCAAGGACTCTGTTATTGTTGTGCGGTGTCTTTGTGTGTGTGTGTGAGTGTATGGCTGAGTGACTCTGGGTGTGCTTAGACCATTTTCAACTTCAGTGCGGCTTTTGTTTTCTGCATAGCATTGGAAACAAGTTTAACAGTTACTTTCGCTCCACAAAAGAAATGTAGCACTTCGTTAGGTCTCTATTTATACACTAACATAGAGTGCTTAACTTTCAATAAGTATAATGCAACAGGCAATAAATATAGGATAAAATGTATACTCTTTTCGTTTATAATAAAAGGTTTTCTCTGATCCAGGGAAAGGATTTTAGATAGACTAGCAAAAGCATTTCATAGGGAGTTTTCTCATAAAAATATAGGATTTTATAATATAAGAATAATATGATTTTTTTTCATTTTTCTTCAAGCTGAATTAAAATTACATATAAAAAATAATTATCATAAAATCAACAATTTAAAATGAAATAAATATTAACTACTAAATTTCTTATAAATT